ATGGGAAAAATTAAATAAGAGAGAGAGAGAGAGAGAGAGAGAGAGAGAGAGAGGGAGGGAAGGGGTGAGGGGCGTGATAGGGAGAGAGGAAGGGGGAGACCGAATAGAAAGAATGGGTTTTTCGATAACACTCCCCCCCCCAAACACTACTCGGGAATGAAAGGGGGGTGAAAGAGGGAGAGAGGGAGGGGGAGACCATATAGAAAGACTGGGTTATTCGATAAAACCACCCTGCCCCCAGCCCCACTTGGGAGTCGACCTGATGTTCCGTGCGTGTGACAGCGGAACACCTAACTCATATACCACAGACGCTGGTCTCTCCCATGATGCCCCAAGGTCATAATATATAGAATATTAATTTTAAAAAGTGGGATTACACAATATGAGAAAAAATTTAACCCAGTTTTCGTATGATAATAAATGATAAATAGCAATCTATATGGTTCATATCTCTGCTAAGCAGCAAATTCGATCATATTAAAATCTATATTGTTACCCCAAGGAGACCCTACACCACTCAGAAACATTCTCTGCTGCTCGGGAAGCACACAACGCAAGCAACCAATTTAGCTCTCAAGCTATGAATTAAGCCAATCGCAAAGGTGAATTTCCAATATTATTTCCTCCGTATCGGAAAGGGACGATAAATTCGAATGTCCCGTCTTTTCGATAACCTTACCTATGTTGTAATGGACCTTAAGCTTATTCAATTTTGCATGTGTCCAGCAGCTTTGTGAATATCTATGCTAGAGATACAAGCTGATAGAAGAAAGTATCGCATCTTTATCAAAATCTCTTAAACCCCGGTTACAAGCAACGATAAACTGTACAAAAACCTGCACGATAGATTGGAACGTGCAAACAGACTACACAGCTCGATAAAACGGACATTTCTCGCATACAACGACAGCATGGTGAAATCAGCCGCTCTTCAAAAGAACTACATTTTTTAAAAGGGCATTTTTATGGGGGCCAACATCTTTTATGTCCATTTAGAAACACATTTCTGTTTGGATTTTACTGAAAACCATGGACCAAATGTACACAAAATGTAAATGTGCAGTTTCCAAGGACTCGCAAGCTTTAGAAGTTACCAAACTTTTGCGGCCATTTTCTCGCTAATATTTACCTCTCACACCAGGCGACCCCCACCTCCTTCAATCGCAAATATCGTGACTCTTATTCAAGGTAGGTGGGTATTCTTTTCGCCAAATGCAAGATACAAGAGCAAATTTTAAGATGATTCTAACAACTCCATGTGCTCAAAAAATGAAGAGCGCCTGATGTTACTGTTGTATGTTGTACTTTATTGTAAAGCGCTCAGAGCCTGTGTACTTTATTCAGGGTTGAGTGCTATATAAATGTCATTTATTATTATTATTATTATTATTATTATTCCCCCAAGTCGTGACACATTCATCGTTGCGTGTTACTGGAGCTTTGCGCTTACCCATCCAAACGGATTGAACTGTTCAGTGGTCTGGCTTTGTTGATGTTGAAAGCCTGCTGCAGCAAACTGGTCTTTGCCTGGAGGACAGGGATACGGCCTTGCTGACGAGCTAAGCCCAGCATGGCAGCGTACTCAAACATCTGGTTGCCAAGGCGACCTCTGAATGCAACGCTTAGAAACACAGGGTAACTGTGATAGGTCGGTTTAGAAGAATTTGTCGCCTGCCTGTTCGCTGCCGCTGAATGATTTGTGGCCCCGTCGATGTGAAGCTTCTCTAGGGGTGAGAATCTGACCTGAAGAAAGAGGCAACAGATAAGTTGAGTCGTTACTACTGTAATAAAAAAAAAAGTAATGAGAGCATTGTTTATAGTATTATAATCTATTCTCAGGAATAGTTTATATAGTGATAGTGCCATATTATTCTGCAATCGGTTATAAGGAATTTTAAAAACCCCAAACAGTTAGGTTATTACATAGTTAAAATCTTCAATTTTTCCTAAAAGACTACGCCAACTTTGTGAAGAGCAATGGAAGCTGCCTCAACAAACAACATAAGATCTATAGAATTGGAATCGACCTTGGGTCAACAGAATTGAAGTCTATTACGAACACACACACAATCGCGCACACACACACACAAATATATAAACAAACAATCGTACACATACATCCGAGAGCACAAAATGACCTGATAAAAAGCCAGGGGCACTGTAATGGCTATGAACAGAGCCAGCGCAATCGTCGATTTCTGGAAAAACTTCATAGCATTGCAACGGAAATCTCCGAACAGTGGACACGAGTGAAACTTTAGAAACCTTCACGGCTTCTCAGCTTCTCTGAAAATGACAACAAAAAGTGGAAGAATTTAGTCAATGATAGTACATAACAAGATGGGCCACTTCTCTCTTTGAGCCAATTAAAAAATTGTCCTCCAAATTTGGTGGCGCCCTCTTCACAAAAGCGCACTCTTTGCGAACAGAGTTACTCTACTTGAGTTTTTAAAAATCAAAGTGAAACTTACAAGTTTTGGGATAAATTTCGGAAGAACGCTTTTTTAAAATGGTTACGCTGACAAAAAACCTCTTCCGGAGGAAAGGTTTAATTTGACTTTAGAATGAAAGGCGAGAGGTCATTAAAATAAAAATTAAAACTAAAACTCCGCACTGAACGTACCCGAACTGCTGATGAACAGCAGTCGATCTGCGCACGCAAGGAGGTGCTATTCCTATTCTTTTTCTGGAAAAACGAAAGAGAGCTTCAAAACAAACTGCATCGCCATCTGAAGCAAAGAGCATACTTCCTGCGGACACTTTTTTGGCTGAGTGGCCCATCTTGTTATGTACTATCATTGATTTAGTAAAGTAGATTCTCCAACATTTGTGGGCATCGCAAATCAAAATCATCACAGTTCGATATTTTCTACTTCTGAAAGACACAACTAAGACCACATTGTGTCCTCCCCCCCCTCCACAAAAAACCCCCAAATAAAGTCCACCCCCCCCCCTGAAATACACACACAAACACACACACACACACACACACACACACACGCACACACACACACGCACACACACACACACACACGCACACACGCACACACGCACACACACACACACACACACACACTCTCACAATCTCAAACACACACGCACACACACACACACACACACACGCACACACACACACACACACACGCACACACACACACGCACACACACACACACTGGCACACACACACACGCACACAATATAACCTCAATATTGCGCCCTAAACTAGACAATCAATTCTACATTGAGGCTTGACTTTTACTTTAGCTTATAGAGCTATCAAAATTTCAAGGAGCATCTTATCCTCAGATATCTTTTTAAGGGGGGAATCAATGTCACCCATACTTTGCAAAATCAGTTTGTATCAATATTCCGTAACTTAATCCTATTTTTCCATAATAATTGAGCTAGATTAAGAAAACCGTTCCTTCCTAAATTTGTATAAAATACTACTATACTATAATCTCCTTCAAGCGGAAAATGAAATTGTTCACAGCACTTCCCGCTTCTCACACACATTTTGCATACGTATATGGCTTACGTCACAGCTCACCAAAGATACTTTTTAATGGCAAAACTAGTTTCAAGAAATTACTTTTATAGTAAACACGTTTGTACACGAAAGGTTCTCAAAACATGCATACAAACAAACATACTTTCACGATAAGAAAAAAATGACGGATTAGCTTTTAAAAACGATAGAAACCCAGCTGTAAACCTTTTATAATCTGAAGAAACCACCTACTGGGATTTTTCATTAGTGTTTATTAAGGAGCTTTCTAGAATAGAGCTGACATGTGTTTACAAAAAATATTGATATATTATGACAACGTGATACAGTCGAGGTGCAAAGGCTGGAGAGTTTGTGTTCTATAGTTGGGGAGATATTTGACACTAAGTTGCGCCAATAATTTTGTTGACAGCACATATAGACTTCAATTCTGTTGACCCAAGTTCGATTCCAATTCTATAGAGCCACATAATAATAATAATTGCCTGTATATAGCGCATATCCATGCTCAAGAGCATGCTCTGTGCGCTTTACAACCATTATTACCCCAGCAGACCCTCTGAGAACACTCCGAAACATTCTCGGGTTCCACGGAAGCATACAATGCAAGCTGCGGATTTCACGCGCTCAAACACTATCAAACTGACAAGATCGTTCTCTGTCTATGGCCGGGTACCCATTCCCACCTGGGTGAAGTGAGGAAAATGTGTGCAAAGTGCCTTTCCCAAGGACACAACGTCGGGCCCCTGAGGGGATTCGAACCCACGACCTTACGGTTGCGAGTCCGAGAGCATAACCACTAGGCCACCGACGCTACAAACGCTATTGTTCGATCATTTACAGTGCGGTCAAAAGTATGTGGCGCAACGTATTCTCAAATATCTCGTTTACGGGTAAATCATTGTCGTTGTCTTAGTTAATGATAGTATACACCCATTTAATCAGATCATTTGGGGTTATGCCTCTAAGATAAATTGATATCGTTTTGGGGGTTCGTGGTGTGACGCTTTATTTTAGAAAACCTGTTTTGTTCCTTAAAAAAAAACCTGTTGTTAAAATAATGTTTTGTTTTGATTTTAGTGAGCTGAAGTGACCCTTTGTCGAGGAAGCCCAGGTGGAGCTGAAGCTGAAAGTCATAGTATGCATTTTGAAGGTTCTGATAAAGAAAACAAAATTGAAACAATTCTAATAAAGTTTTCCTCCCTTTATAAAGTACCTTAAAACACGACGCGTCTTCTAGCGTAGTTGAACTACCAGAACGTGCGTCCTTATGAGGTAAGCAGAGCTTAGAAGAATTCACTGAAATACCTGTTCTCAGACAATATGTGATGCAGCGTAGTGGAATCAGGCTATCGTCAATTTTTGGGCATGTAGAGTTATTTGTATCATCTTAAAGCTTGTTCATTTGTCTTTATTTGGATGAAAAAAATATCCATTTACCTTGAATACAAGTCGAGATATTTGCGAAAGAAGGAGGTGGGGTCACCTGTTTTCTGAGGTAAAATTAGTGAGAAAATGGCCGCCAAAGATTAGTTATTTCCTTAGTCCGTGGTAACTGAAAATTTACATTTTTTGTGCCTTTAATCAACGTTTTCGAAAAATACAGACAGAAATGAGTTCTTTAATGAGCATGAAAGATGTTGAGCCCAAAAACAAAAATTTGATAGAAATTCACAAACCTGCGGAAAAATGCAAGTTTCTTCACTTTGATAATTTTGACGAGAGCCTGATTCCACCACGCTGCCTCACATATGTTACACGGCACTTCTTTGCTTATGTCACATTGCAGAAGCCAACATATTAAAGCAGAAAACGAAACAAAAACAACGACAAACAAACCTTGGCAATATGAAGTATAAATCAGTCGCTTATAAGGGCAAGTGGGCTAACCCAGATTTCGGGAGTTTTCCAGAAATCTTGACCTACACCAAAAGTGGGCAATGCCCTACCTATAGGAGAAGTTTAGTTTCATTGGTGCGTATATTTGCTTGGTTAATGACAAAAATCTCCATGTGTTTTAAAGAAACTGAACAAGGGGTCAAAATTTTACCTTCGATTTTCTCAAAACATCATTTTTCGAGATAGCCCCCATGTGCTTAAAAGCGACCAAATATTATATTGCAAAACTGACTTCTATCACTACAATATGCCTTCAGAAAACATCACTGGAATAGTCTCAACTTGAAACAATAACACATTATGCTCTCATAGTGCTGAAGTAAAGAAAAATATCCGCAGACAGCATCGTGGTGAAATCGAAGACACCGAGGTTTTCGATTGTTTTGGTATTGTTTTTGACTCAACACCTTGCGTGTCCATATAGAATAATATGTGAGGCAGCGTGGTGGAATCAGGCTCTCGTCAATTTTTGAGCATGTAGAGTTATTGTTATCATCGTAAAGCTGGTTCACTTGTGTTTATTAGGATGAAAATAATATCCATTTATCTTTAATACAAGTCGAGCTATTTCCGAATGAATGAGGTGGGGGTCACTTGTTTTCAGAGGTAAAATTAGTGAGAAAATGGCAGGCAAAGATTAGTTATTTCCTTAGCTTAAGAGTCCGTGGTAACTGAAAATTTACATTTTTTGTTTCTTTAATCAACGTTTTTCAGAAAAATCCACGCAGAAATGAGTTCTTTAATGGGCATGAAAGGTGTTGAGCAAAAAAAAAAAAAAAAAAAATTTGATGAAAATTCACTAACAGACAGAAAAAAGCAAGTTTCTTCACTTTGATTATTTTGAGGAGAGCCTGATTCCACTACGCTGCCTCACATATTCCTGTGTGGATTTTATTGAAAAACTTTTGATCAAGGACACACAAAATGTAAATGTGCAGTTTCCAGGGACAACATAGCAAGGACACTATGGCTCCGAAAGTCGATTTTCTCATTACGTCATATTACACGATTGCGTTGAAATAATTAAAAGATAGTTTTACAGGGACATGTATCTTACCGAGCGCTATCAAAATATGCTTTTAAAAAACCCAATGGTTTTCGGAAATTTGTAAAATTCACGGTTTTATCAGGCAATCGACAAAATTTCGCCTTACCTCTGACGCTAGACAGCTCCCACCTCCTCAAGTCGGAAATATCTCGACTTCTGTCAAAGATAGATGCGTAATTTTTCCATCTGATATAAAACAAATTAACAGGCTTTAGATTAAATAGATAACTGCACATGCCCCTCAATTGAAGAGAGCCTGACTCTACAATGTTGTGACGCAATAAATGAGCATCAAGAATTACAGCTATAATAAAGAAAACTGATTTGGTCAACTCAAGAACAGACTCTATGGAAAGAACACTCAGCTCTGTTGAAGAAACAAACTATCGGCTATATTAAGTACGAACGCTTGAAACCTAATTATTTACACGTTATCTGGGCTTTCCTTTTTTGTTCCTTACTTTGTTTTCGGTATATTTAATAGTTGAGCCCAGCTGTTCCTGGATCGATAACAACAACAACAACAACATATTCAATAGTTCATTGAGATTATCCTGCGTTTTGGGGCGACGTTTACGATGTACTCAACTTTGATTACAACGAAGAGCAAATATATTTTACATTGATTTGCACTCACTTGCACAATCGATGACCCCATCTGTTGCCTTACACAAAAAGGAAAGGCCCCAGAGTTTTGATAAGGGCAACTCAAGCATAATAAATCTTTTCATCTTGATTTAAAATTGCTCTTGAGTAACACTGTCTCGGCAACGTGTCTTTATAATGGGCATGGCGGTTT